TGAACGGCACCTGGAGGATTATGTAAACGCGGCCCCGTGGTCAAAATGTAATGAATTTCTTTGCAAAAAAATTAAAATCTCTTAAATACGTGGTGGGTTCTTTTCAGCAGCTCTATAATTAAATTTCCCTGAGAAAGATGGGCAGCGTGGCCAGAGGATGCAGTGGGAGCGTGCCCAGTGAGGGGGCCGTCTGCCCCACCTCCCGAGTCAAGGAGACCGCATCTGGCTCACACACCCTCCTCCGTCCACTTCAACGTGGCCAACATTGTCTGAGGGCCTACTGTGTGCTCCAAGAGCCCTATTCCTAACCTAAAGTCAAAGCAAGCCTCTAACTCGCCAACGCTTCCTGAACGTCCACGCTCCTGGAAGGCAGAACTTGTGCCTCAGAAGCAGCGAGCCTTGACTGTTTTATATTCATCGCTCAGTCCCTGCTCCCCTCAACCGGGTTTGATCTCTTTTAACCCATTCTCCCACCACCGAGGACCAATTCCGGCACAGGCAGCTGGAGATGGGCTTTTCCCCTCTCTAATCTAGACTTGAGAGCGTTTGCCCTGTTTCCTGGTGACCAAATCTTGGAGCAGATTCTGTGGGTGGAGAAGAGATGGATCTCGGTCACAGATGGCCACCTTGCCCTGCGCCAACCCCCAGGTCTCCGGAAAGAAATCTCCTTGTCTCTTTGGTGTTAGTTTCCCTGAGTCCCTGCTCGGCTGCCTGGCCAGAGCTGGTCGGGGCCGGCCGCTCTGTCTGAAGGACGTTACTTGCCGGGCACCAGAGAGACATGTGTTGAATAGTGGGCTGGAGCCTGTCCTGGGATGCTCAGTGCTGTTATCAAGACAGCCGGGTGGAAGGTGGGAGGCCTGGCACCCAGCGTGTCACCACCAGTAGGAGGAGGCAGGGGTGGCTCTGCTGAGATAAACCAAGCAAAGTTCAAGCATTTCCAGGACCCGAGGGGACAGCGCAGGGGCAGCATCTGTCCCCAGGTCCAGGCCGTGCTGTCAGTGGACTTTAAAGCCTGGACTGGTGTACTGCCCAGGGCAGAGCCAGGGAGCCCTGCCTGACCTTGAAAAGTGAGGAAGTCAGAGGGGGGAACCCACAGCGAAGACGCTCCTCACAGACTGTGCGTGTATACGTGGGCATGTATGTGTGTATACAAGTGTGTGTGTGTATACATGTGTGTGTATGTGTGTGTGTGTGTATGTGGGCGTGTGTGTGCTTCCTCTCCAGAGGCCAGCTGCCCAGCACCCAAGCAGCCCCACCTTTACGATGACCTGCACAGCACCTGTCTCGTGAAAACGTTACCTCCTTCCTGCTGTTGGGTAAACAGCGTTTTCTGGTTCCCGTCCTGTCGCGTAGGCAGGCCACTGTTAACCAGTCAGGGTGTGGCTGGTGCCCTCGCCCCCGGCTCATGCCCTTAGTCAGGACAACCCTAGTGAGTTGCCAGCAAATGCTGATTTAGGAAAGATATTTTCTAGCAGGTTGACTTTTCTAAGAAGTGGCGTTTTTCTGGGGTATGACTTGTTTTTCTAGTACGAGTTCAGCCAGGAAGGATGTTCCGAATCACATCTCTTGGGAGCGTCTGTTGACACTCTCCTGTGATTGTTATTATGCTGTAGTAATAAGTTGCCCAAGAAAAAGCCATCCTTCGTTTCTGAGATAAATCCTACTTAGGCGTGTCGGGAAGGAAAAGTAAATTTCTCTCTACGCTTCTGCATTCCTGGCTGCGATCCCTGTGATAAAACATGGATTAACCAGAGAAGAAGAAAAAGAAGTTTATTAACATGGGCACCTCGTGTATCCATGGGAGGGACCGGGAAACGATGAGAAACTCCCCAGGTGACTTAGACTTCAGGCTTAAATGCCACCTTACGAGGGAAAGATGAGAGGAGGTGACTTTTAGGAAAGGTGACGACTGGCCCTGAGGAGCTAGATGGGGGTCTGATCGTTGTGACAGTGTGTCTGGGTGTAGTGCTGACCGCTGGTCCCCCTCCTGGGACAAGTCAGCCCCTGCCCCTGGTTGATGACACTCCCAGGGAGGGGCTTTTGGACAACCCAGTTCCTTTTGTCTGCAGGTAACTGAGAGGAGTTCGGAGAAAGCCTCTCCCTACATTTGCTGTTTTTCCAGTGTTGGCAGCTGAAAATGATCAGCACCCCAAAGTGGCATTTTTGGGGTGGCGCGCCCACCTGCCCTTTGCTCCCCACCCTTGGAACTTTCCCAAGTGGTTTCACGGCGTAGAAACAGTCGGTCGTTTGCTCCGTCTCTTAGTCCTGAGAGGAGGTCAGCTCAGTTAATAGTTGTCTTGTTTCAGGAGCCCCAAATGGTACAAGCGGGCAGGCATTTGGGGGGAGCCGAAGAAAAACAAAGGGTAATGGTTGGAGCAGATTATAAACCAGTTTCAGAGTCGGGAGGGGAGCCAGTCAAGAAGATTTCTAGATGTTGAGCTCAGTGCACCTCTTGCAGTTCGAATGCCTCCGTTGACGTCACCAGGGGGACCTTTGAGTGGCCCTCATGACAAGCGGGCTGTCCACACAGAGCCCTGTGATGGCCTGGGGTTCCCGTCAAGTTGTCCAGCTGCAGATTGCCAGGCTTCCGAGAAGGGGCACTGTGGGTTCTTATAACTCTAAGTCAGAGGGTGGCAGAAAATCGGACACGTTCGTTTGGAGGATTGCGGCCAGATGTCAGAGGAAACCAGAAGAATTCAGGATCCAGCCCAGCCTGTCAGTAGGTAACAAAACTGCGGAGCCGTGAGCAGGGCTGGAATCCGACCTGCACAGGCTGTGCTAGAGCTTTCCGCGGACACATAATATCCTCTCCACCATCGCCCCGTTTCTAACAAGGATAATCCCAGGGAGACTGGCTTGTTTGCAAAATGAGCCCAGTCTCACTAAACTTGGCCTGTTCTGTGCATAAATCAGCAAGAGCGGTGATGATCATACAGGTGCGTCTTACGTTGCTTTGCTGGGCCTTTGACAAGGACACATGGGCCTATCCCCTCCAGGTGTGATGAAGGGCCTTGCACTTACCTGAGTCCCACTTGCTGTATTTCAGTCTTGACCATCACACCCACCTCTGTGCGTGGGGTTGGTTTGTGCAGGTCTTAACTTGATGTTCTGAGACTGAGAGCATGTGGGGGGTGGGGAGGTGGGTCTTGTAAATCCAGGCGGGTGGCTTTCCTCTCACGCCCTCCGCTCCGGAAAACCTACAGGTGACTCCTGGGTACACCCGCTTACCTGAGCCTGGATCGCTTCTCAGAGGAATTTCCAGAAGAGACAGCAGTCCTTTCGGATTTGCTATTTCTTCTAGCCAATTTGGAAACTTTATATTTTGTCCAAAAAAAAAAAATCAGTTTCATTAAGATTTCCAACTGAGTTAGCAATAAAGATAAAGAATAAAATGTTAGGAAAACTCTCGTTTTTTTTTCTCTCAAATTTGCCAAAGGTGCTTCTGTTTTCTTGAGAATCTTCCCCCTGAGTGCAGCTCTCAATTTATCAGTGCTTCTACTTTTCTGTTTTCAGATTGAGGAATTTGTGCATTTGTCTTTGTCCATTATGCTGGAGTTTTCTGCATCCTGCTTTATCGTGACTTTTCTTCTGGAGTCCCGTGCTCCGTTAATGCACTGCAATTCTGCTTTAATGACGAAAACATTTCAAATGAAGGGTTTGCTTTGACTCCATCTCTGGCCAAATTCTGTGCGTTTCGTTGTGTAACGGTCTCATTGTCGTTACTATGTTTAAACAGCCTCTAAATGCAGTTTTGACCCCATTGTTAATTCAGAATATTTTTTAAATTTATCAAAGGTCTTTTCTTTAAAGTTTCATTGTTAAATTTTAATTGCATTATTTCAGTACAAGGTCCCATTCAATTTTGCTTTGTGCATTTTTTTTTTTTTGGCAGGGGAGCAGTTGTGACCCATTTCATTATAAAATGTGGCCATGGTCCCCTGGGCTTTGATTTTTAAAGTTGTACTTTCTAAAGATGTAGTCAAGGTGAATGCCACGCTGTGATTTTGGCCTCATCAGTTCTTCCTTTCAAATCACTGAGGCTTATTTACATTTTCCCACGCTCAAGGGTTTTCCCACGCTCAGGGAAGCTGTCGCCTTTCATGGCGGTTGGGAGGGGGCGTCCATCCACTGCCCGCCCATCACCGAGAGTTTCAGCTTCATCTAAATGGAAGACGTGCGTCTCTTTCGTTCTATGAGTGTCCGTTTTGTTTCCCAAAGACTCATAGTTACCTGGTCAGCAATCAATGCCTCTGCATAACCCGCCCTGCTCCGCGTAAAACACAGAATCGAGCATTCATCTCTGCTCCTGGCATCTCCTCCGTGTTCTGTATTTGCCAGTGTACCTTGGACTTGGGACCCAGGTGACCACTGTGAACTTGTGTTTTCAACAACATAGAGTTTCTGTAAAGCTTATGTTTGTGTTTAGCTCTGTAGTCAAGTGGACAGTTTTGGTGTTAAACTTCTGTGTCTAAATGCTGGTCCCGGGTCCGTCCTGTCACAGCCCCCAGTCTTGAGGTCCTCAGTGTGGGTCCCCTCTCAGGTACTGACTGCGCGTGCAAATGTGTCCGTTGCCCTCCTGCACGGATGAAAACTCCTGGGGCATAAACGTACTGGGTCCCAACCTTTTTTCCTCAAATCTCCACAGAGGCTGCCTGCTTTCTTGCCTCTGTCTTCTCTAAGGTTTGACAGTGGACATTAGGAGCGCCAGCATCGGGGCCTCGGCCACCTTATGCCACCATTCCCAGTGTTTCTCAGTGGCGTCGTGTGTCCCATGCCCCCTGCGGAACCCTTCATTTGGAATATGGTGTCCCCTCTTCCCTATCACCTGTGGGCTCTCAGCAGACCCCGGAGCACGGGCTGCCCTCCCGGTTCCCAAAGTGGGTGAAGTGTTTGCTGTGGTCCCAGGTGTTCGAGGGCATGAGGGTGGGAGAGTGTAAGGGCAGGAGTGTGGCCCCCGCTCCAGGGCAGGCTGACACCCCTCCCGCTGCTCCTCCCTGCAGATCCGGTCCGACAAAGACAACGACATCCCCATCCGATACAGCATCACGGGCGTGGGTGCCGACCAGCCCCCCATGGAGGTCTTCAGCATCGACTCCATGTCTGGCCGCATGTACGTCACGCGGCCCATGGACCGGGAGGAGAGAGCCTCCTACCATGTGAGTACCTGACCGTGGGAGGGGTGTCACGCCGGAGCCTGTGCCAGCGTCACCAGATGGCTGCCTGGAGTCCACGCTGCTGGCCCAGCCCAGGGTTTCTGACTCAGTGGGTCCAGGGGGGCCCGAGAATTTACGCTTCTCATTCCCGGGCGACGCCACACTGGGAGAGCGACTGGTCTAGAAGGTGCCGACCCACGTGGCCGTCCAGGAGCTCGTGAGGTCTGACGGCGGTCACATGAGGCCATGTGGCTGCTGTACACGCGGGGCCCACGCGCTCCGGCCCCTCCTGCTCCCCGAGAGCTGTGCTTGGAGACGGAAAGGATGAGAGAAGGGAAGGCCGGGGCTCAGCTTAAAGGGTTACCCACCCATTTCCTCGGTGGCCTCACGGCGTGGCGGCTACGGGGAGGGCCCCGGTGCACGGGGGGCACGGAGGGGGGCCAGTGGGCCTCACGCCCTCCACCAGGCCTCTCCCTGAGCTGCATGAGGGTAGACGCCAGCTGGAGGTGGCAGGGCTGTGCAGCCTCAGGGGCCAAGCCGGCCACGCACCAGGCGAGCCCTGGGCACTCAGCCGCCCTGGCCTCCATGCTCCCTCCCTCCCTTGTGGCCTGTCCACCCTCCCACAGGCACAGGCCCTTCTAGAATGCATGGTTCTGGGTCTAGAGGGATGTTCGGCCAGTGGCTGGGGGCCCATAGGTGTTTACTGAGTGAGTGAGAATAGAAGGAAGGGAGGGCTGAGAAAAGGCCTGCCCCTCCCCAAGCGAGCAGCGACTCCAGGTCCCTGCCAGCAGCCCCCCACACACACACAGCATCCCGCTCATCGTCCTTCTGGCCAGTGTCCCCCGCCCGGCCGTCTCCGTCCCTCGTTAGGCGATCTCCTTCGGAGCCTCATCTAGTGTGGGAGCTCTCGGCCTCCACACGGTCCATCGTGGAGGCCACTTGCTGACCTTGTTCAGGGTCAGGCAGATTCGTTTGTAATTATCACGGCTGCACAGAAAGCTCCTCCTCCGTGGTCCGGGGAGCCTCTCCCCCTCCCACCCCGGCCCGCAACCCCGGGTCTGAGCCCCGGTTCTTTGGTTTCTTGCTGGAGTGTTGCGGAGCCAGGCTTTGGAAGAGATCTGATTGGCAGTGGGATGTCCTAACCCGCTCTCAGCCCACCGTGAGCTGCACGGCCGGTGCACAGAACCAACTGGACTGTTCAACCAACACCGCTGTTCAACCAGCCATGAAACCCATCGTCTCAACACGCTGCGGGCTCCGCAGATGGGCTGTGGGCACCAGCAGCCTGTGTTTAGAACACAGCCCCAGATTCAGGGTCAACGTCCGTTGTCTGCCATCAGACACGTGTAGGCTGAGAGACCCAGGGAGGGAGATGGAGACAGAGACACAGGGACACAGGGACACAGGGACACAGGGACACAGGGAGAGGAGAGGCAGAGGGAGGGCAGAGGAAGGGACTTGGCCTGCACACGGCAGAGAGAGCTGGTCCCGCGGGATCTAACCATGGGGTGCACAGACCAGCCCTTAAGCCTTCATTGGGGAGTCCCGGCACCCATGTGTTTCTATGTCAGGTTTTCCCATCAGAGCAAAGCTGGGGCAGGTAACCTTCCGGGCGCGTGTGCCTGGCCTGGGGAGCTGTAGCCTGGGGGTTGGGGGGAGCAGGGGGGCACCTGGCTGTGCAGGGACCCCTCTGCAGGGCTGTCAGTCAAGCTGGTCTCGGGAGGCCCCAGGACACGGCACCTGCTGAATGCAAAGCCGTTTCCTGAGAGAACACACACCACACGCACCAAGCAGAAAGGCCTCTTCCTTTCATCTCATTTTAAATGCTGTTCGGAAGCCTTGCGCGCAAAACTAGACCCACTTTTGGTGTTTCTGGTTAACTGTCTCCTCTACAATTCACACCCACATCACTGCTGGAATTCCCACCGACTCCCTGGAAAGGGCCCGGGGCTTGGCCCTCCTGCTGCTGACTGGGAGTAACTCGTGCCGGTGCCACCACCTGGCCGAGGGACAGGGGCCTCTGGGACTGCTGCTGGGCACTGCCCGCTCCGTAAGCTTCAGGGACAGCCTGCAGCCCTGCCTGCCACTCGGCCCACGGCGGGAGGACCAAGGTGCACGGGGAGGCCCAGAGACCGGGAAGGCTGCTCCAGGGGCGAGCACCAACCCCTCACCCGACCCCCTGCTCACGGGCAGGAACTGTCCGTCTGCTGGTGCCAAGACAGCACTGGTCATGCAGAGGAACCAACCCCCCGCGCTCTTCAAACGTGCCTGCATTTCTCTGCATATTCTTTTGGCCTGAGTTGACTCCAGAGCCTTGCTGAGCACCAGCTCTACCCGGAAACAGTGTCTCTGCAGCTAGTCGGTCCCGCCAGAAGCCCCTGGGGAAAAGTCGGGGGTCACGGGCTGGTGGCCCCTAGGGAATCGGGTCGCAAGCCCAGCCTGGAGGCGAAGCCGAGAGTCTCCTGAAGGCCCCCAGCCACATCCTGCATGCAGGCTCCAGTGTTCCCCGGAATCGGACCTAATTTGTCTCCTCGAAACAATGCAGGTTGCCTCCTGGGGGCCAGCCAGCCTCAAGATTCTCCTAAGACACACGTTTCAAGGGCAAAATTCCACTCAGGGCTGTCGGAACGGAGCCGGCGCGCTGAGGCCGGTGTGGACAGGGCACGAGGCTCCCTCCCACAGGCATGGGTGTGCGTCTCCTCCCCCTTCTCCCCGGAGGCTGGCGGGGCGGGGGTGACGCGTGTCACCCAGGTGCTCTGTGGGGGTCGTGCACAGCGCCCCCCCTCAGAGACCCTCCCCACCGGCAGGCTTCGGCACACTAGCCTTGGTGCTGTCATGTTGCAAAGACCTTGAGTTCCGATGTGTCCAGCTTGGAGGGTGGAGTAGCTTCGACAGAGAAATGTGGGCTGGGACACCGTATGTGACAGTCACAGCCTTGGCATGTAGACGCCTCAGGCACGTCCCCTCCTCTCTCCAAGCCTTGGTTTTCCCTCTACACCCCAGGTCCCCAGCTGCCCCACTCCACACTCCTCTGCTGCCCACCGTGCTCAGACACTGTGTCCCCGTGGGGCCTCCACACTTGCCGTCCTGCCTTCCCTCTTCATCAGGTCTCAGCTCAAACGTCACCTCGTCTGAGAGGCCTGCCTGGCTGCTCCCAGCCCCAGCGGGTTGCCACCATGACACCCAGGTGTGTCTGGCTTCTTGTCCTCCTTTGTATCCATCTCCTGGACTAGACACCCCGGGGCCAGGCCACGGCGGTCTCGCTGAGCAGAAATCTAGGCTCCAGCCCAGTGCCTGGCGCACGTAGGCCTTTGATAGAGATCGGTGAGTGACTGAATTAACGAGTGGGTGAAGGAATGAGTGAATGCATGAAACATCCAGAAGTTGAGAGGCGAGCAGCCCCCCTGGACCCTTCCAGCCCATGTCAGGGCGTCTTCCCTTTGTGCCTGGAAGCTGGTCCCTATGAGCTCCCTGAGCCCCTTCCCCAGCAGAGCGGGGGGGGGGCTTCCTTCCACTCCATTTTCCGCATGGTTCCCCAGAACAGATAAGCATGGGGGTGAAAGGCCAGCAGGGTGGACTCCCAGTGGACACCCACGTTAACCTTAGCCCGAGTCCGAGTTCAAGATCCCCCAGGGTCTAGGTCTCCCCAGGCCTGACCTCTCAATAGCAGAAGTTTTAGCCCCCAACCCCCAGTTGACACAAATGGCTTTTCTGCAGGCGCTGTAGGGGGACGTGTACCTCACCATCCGTGATTCAGGGACCGGTCTGAGCAGGCTGGGGAGTCCTGGGCGGGCATCAGCTTCAGGGCCTCCGGTTGGCTCCCAGCTCCTACATGTCACCTGTTTTGTCCTGTCACAAACATTCCCATTTCCACAGAGGCGAGCACCGAGGCTCAGAGAAGCTTCGCAACATGTCCCAGGCCCTCCCGCCCCCCGCCTGGGGGCCTGGAACACCGTGTCAGCCCCGCCCCTATGCCAGGGGTCCAAGGGGACTTGCACTCACTGCTCCCTGAGGCTGTGCCCAGAGGTGGCGCCGGCCCTGACGCCACCCGCGTTGCTTTCCAGCTCAGAGCCCATGCCGTGGACATGAACGGCAACAAGGTGGAGAACCCCATCGACCTGTACATCTACGTCATCGACATGAACGACAACCGGCCCGAGTTCATCAACCAGGTCTACAACGGCTCGGTGGACGAGGGCTCCAAGCCAGGTGAGCCCAGCCCCATGGCCTGGGGCGGGGTGGGGTGGCGAGACGACCCCATGGGACCCACCCATTGAAGGGTATGTCTAGCAAACCCCCACTGCGCGCAGACGCTGCACTGGGAAGTGGGGCCTCACGGTCCAGACCGGGACACAGACAAACGACGAGCTAAAGCAAGTGGATGAAGCCATTGCGTTATGATGAGAGGCTCAGATGCAAACCTTGGGGCACAAAGATCCATGGGGGTGTCTGTAGATCAGGGAGGGCCCCTCCGCAGAGGTGACACGTAGGCCAGGAGCTGAAGTGTGAGAAGGAGCAGCGCTCAGGGAAGAACTGGGACCGGTGTGTGTGCTGGGAGGGAGCCTGGGGCGGGGGGAGCACATGCAAAGGTCCTGGGGCAGGAGCCGAGGTCAGGGGGGCCTACCATTCAGGGTCTCCTGGGCCACACTTTGGATTTCATTCCAAACACCGTAGGAACCCCAAGAGAGGCCCAGACTCCCCCAACCCAAAGTGAGCCCATGTAACCAAGGCCCTCGGTTCCCCTGAGAGCTGACCCAGGGCCCGTCTCCCCACAGACTTCAGTGCAGCCTGAATGGTGACCACCGCGTTAACATGCGGCAGGGCCCTCACGAAGGGCATGCCACATCTGGTCCTTGTAATCTGTCACTACCAAGGGGGGCACCCTCCGTCTCCCTTTAGCAGAGACAAGACTCAAGGCCCTAGGGGGTAAAGCGGGGGGCCCAGTCCACACAGTGTAGGTCGGGATCCCCAGCTGATGCAGGAGCCTTGACCCAGGGACCAGCAGCATCACCTGGGAACAGGTGACAGTTGCAGTCTCTGAGTCTCCGACCTGGGCAGGTAGGGCCTGGGGTCTGGGCGGACAAGCCCCCCAGGTGATTTCTGTGCACACTCAGGTTCGAGAATCACAACCCTGCACTGCTGTCCCCAGCATGGGGTGGGGAGGTTGTCCTTGGACAAATGCCCGGCTTGGGTTGCACTGGGGAGCGGAGCCAAGCGTCACCGATGAGGGCACCATGGGGCTGCCCGAAGAAGCCACTAAAATACAGGACATGCACAGGTTTCCTCTGAAGTTCGGGGACGAGTCGTCACATACGTATGCCCCTCACCGACCGTATTCCTCGTGGAGCTGACCTTCGCTCCCCGTGAGCGTCGGGTCACGGGAGGGCTTCTGGGCTCTGGGAAGGGCACATGGAGCCCACGGGACTTCCGGGATGGAACACGTGGCTCCAGCAGCCCCCGCCGAGGGTCAACCAGGCTCCCCTCGGGGCGGCGAACACAAACATTTATCATCACTTCTCTGCGAGGTGGTTGTTATAGCTCCGTCTCCAGGGGCTGCTGTTTCAACAAGGTGAACTGTGTTTTCGATTGATTGTCTCAGAATGGCGAGGTGCAGGCCAGTCAGCGGAGGAAGCAGGATGTGACATTATTTCTGCTGGAACCTTGGGCGGCTGATCCCTGTAGTCCCTTAAGGGGCAGGGGCAGGTGGTTGGTGGGCAAATTAGCTGCAAGTAGTCAAAACAGCCGACTCTTTAAGGAGCTGGGGGTGGAGGAGTGTGGGTGTCGGGCTGGGGTGGGGGGCTTCCTTGTTAACAAACACAGCGGGCCTCTCCCCTTGCAAGACCCAGGACGATCTGTAAAGGTGCCTGGATTTTCTATCACAGATCAAACCTCCCTTGTCTTTATTTTAAAACAAATCGATAAAACCTTCCCCAATATGCAGCTGGCTTTACTCATTAGGAAAACAGAAGCAGCAAATTACTGACTCTTCCGAGAAAGCCTGATAAGCCTTTAAGCCTGGACCTCCCATCACCTGCTCCAGATTGCATGCCTGCCGGGGCCTGGATGGGCCGGAAGGCTGGTGCTGATCCCGGAAAAAGCCCTGGTTTCCGACTCACTCCTGCCTGCCCCTTCCAGGACTGTGGACACGAAGCGTGACTGACTTTCGGAGCCCCTTGGGGACCCCAGAGTCCGTCTCTGGTCCCACGACAGCCCTCAGAGGGGAACAGTGTTGCCACCTCTTTGTGCAAAGCCCAACAGAGCTGTAAGATGTTGCTGTGGACCCAGCTTGACGTCCTTGCTCGTCCTGGCCAAGGGCAAGGGGGTGACGTCCACACAGAGCATGCCATGGCGTCCTTGAGACAGGAAACGCCCAGGACCTGGAAAAGTCTCTTGCTTCTTCCCTCACATTGCAAATCACAGGACCAGGTTTACCCACTGCCTGTGTGCAGTGAGGAGAAACTGCCGCCGGAAATTAGTCATCATTCTCTGGAATGACAGGCTCTTCGGGGTTTCGGATGTACGTTCTAATGGAAAACAAGTGAGAAGATATGTTAATAGTGACTCAGCTAGATAAGAGCCTTGTAAGGTTTGGAAAGTTCGCTGGGGACATTAGCAAGCCAACTAGGGCCAGGGTCGCCCCCCAATTTTCCGGCTACTCCCCCCCAATTTTGTGAAATCCTCTTTGGCGTGGCGGGATCAGACAGCTCGGAGACGTGGGAGGCCCTTTGGTTGGGCAGCGTGCACTGTAGGCTGGGGTCAAGGGCGCCCTCCCCTCTGACCACAGCCTGCAGGCATCTGTAGTGAGCAGGTAGCCGAGAGCCACATCAAATGTCCCCAGAAAAGGGGTGCACTGGCTCCCGTGACGGTGAGGACCCAGGCGGGTGGGGGCTCAGGTGCGGCAACGCCGGGGCTGGGCTGGAGGTGTCCAGAGTCCTGCTGTCCACTGTGTACTGTCTCCTCTGGGTTGCTTCGCTCTCTCTTCCTGTGGCCAGGACGCCTCAGCAGCTGCAGGCGTGTCCCTGAGCGGTGGATAGCCCGGGGACGGAGCCCCTTTTCCTCTAGTCCCAGCAAGAGCCCAGGGCAGACCCTCCTGGCTCACGTGCCCGCCCTGAGCCGGCCGCATGGCCGGGGCTTAGGCTGCGAGCCTTTGCCAGTTACAAACAGGGTCCATTCTAGATCCCACCCCAAGTCATAGGGTCTAGGCACGTGGCAGGTGTGGCTCCCCAGAGGAAAACCAGACTGTTGCCCCAGGAGAGGGGGCTGGATGCCAGGATACCAAACAGCACACGTGCAGAGGTGCAGCCACACTGGGGAGCTGCTGGCCTAGGCCAGTGTTGTCCGCTGGGACTTTCTATAATGATGGAAAAGTCTGCACCTGGGTTGTCCAATGTGTAGCCACTAGCCACCCATGGCCACTGAGCCCCTGAAGTATGGCTAATACAACAGAAGAGCTGAATTTCTAATTTTATGTAGAATTTAAATAGTCGCATATGGCCAGCAGCTACCGTATGGGGCAGCCCGGTTTTAGTGGGTGATTTTGGGGTTCCTCGCCCAGGCCGGGCCATCTGAAGCCGATGGCCACAGCAGCAGTCCCTCCTGACCCCAGGGAGCAGCTGTCCCCTCTTGGTCATTGTCCCAAATCCAAGACGGAGAGCTGGCAGGCCACCAGAGCCGCCTGGAGACCCCATTCACTGGGAGACCCCATTCGCGGCTCAGGAATTGAGCGCAGACGTGGAAACGTGCGCGTGGCTCGCGCGTCCCCGCCTGGGTTTTGCTCGCCCTGGTGCTACGTCATTCCTGGGCATGCACACCCCTGCCTTTCTGAACCCCGCCCTTGTGCAGAGCCCACCTGGACCTCCAGCCCAATCTGTGCACCTGCTCCTGCTGTGCTCACACCCCTCAGGGCAGCACCTCACAGGCGTTTTTCTGAATTGTCACAAACTCCCAACTGGCCAAGTCTGGACGATGGCCGTTGTCTAGCCTGGGGCGGGCCCGTGAGAGCCAAGCCTGAGGTCCGGTTCCTGGCCTGAGGGGAGGACAGGGCACAGGTGGGTTATGAGGGACCTCTCGCCCTCAGGAGGCGTCAGGGGGTGGGGGCACACCAGGAGAGGGAGGGGCAGGGGCGGGGTTCAGGGTCCACCTCAGGCCCTGCCCCGGGTCTGGCCCCTCCTGCTCCTTTGAACTTGATCTCTTTGAGAAGAGCAGGGTCAGATTGAAAACAGCTGCTGCGAGCCCTAACCTGAAGCTCATGAGCCCTGAGGACCCGCCCTTCCTGAGCGCCAGACCAGGCCTGGGGGGAGGCCCCCACCTCCAAAACACAGGCCCCGTCCTCTGCGCAGACGGCCCAGCCGGCGGCGAGAGCTTGGCTGGCTCGCTGTGCAAAGGGTCACCTTCCGGTGAAGATGTGACTGTGCTGTCACCACAGAAATACAACTGCTGGACTTGCTGAGTGCCGCCAGGTGCCGGGCTTCCCCACATATTAACCTGTGTCACTAAATCCTGTGACAGCCCCGTGAGGCCTTTCATCTCCCCGACCTTGGAGATAAGAGAACGAAGGTGTAGAACAGACGAGTAAAGACGCAGCTTGTAGCAGGTGGAGCCAAGCTTTTAACCCAGGTGATCTGGCTCATGAGCCGTGGTTCTAACCATTGTGCAAACTGCCTTGTCTCCCCAGACTGTGTCAGGAATGCACTTGGCACAAGTCACAAGAACGCCAGCTTGTACGAGTAAGGGGCGGGGGGGAGGGAAGCTCACAGCCGTCGGGGCTGACGCCGCTGTGGCATTTGCTCCCCCTGGCCTCTCACCACATGCTCACACAGTGGCTGCTGCACCTCCAAGCCTCACATCCACTGTCAGCCAGGGAGAAGGCGTGGAGGGGCAGTATGTAGCATGGTAGTTTCCCCAGGAAAAGCACTTGTCGTGTATGAGAGTGTCTCTCCAGGATGAGAAAACATGAGCCCCACCCTCAAGGAGCCCATCGTCCAGTTGAGGAACCAACAAATCTGTACGTACGTGCTTCGCGTGTACATGCTAATGCACACCTGGGCAAAGGCAGAGAAGCAAAGGTCCCAGGCCATTGGGAATGGACAGTCTTTCCTGCCCCAGGGCCTTTGCACGTGCTGTGCCTGCTGCCGACATCCTCCCCGACCCCGTCTCTATAATGCTGGCTCCTTTTCCTCCTTCAGCTCACATGTCACTTCAGTAAAGGT